AGACAGTCATGACTCACAGAGTTATTTTCAGAGGATATACTTGATTTATATCACATTTAAGTGTGAAAAATCAAATATAAAGCCTTTAATAATAATAAAAAGTATATGTACATATAAAACATAAATAGATTATGTTAGATTGAACCTCCTAATGAGGCTCTAGTTTGCTCGCTCCTTAAGAGGAAAGCTTCATCATAGTTTATTCTAAACGGCTACAAACTGAGCTCTCCTTTGAAGACTAATATGCATCACAGCCACTACAACCTAATTACAGCTGATTGCTGTCCTCACTGTGGTACCATCTGAATAACCCTGTGCATATAATGCAGTTCTATAATTGGCCTATTGTATGTATCCTACTGTACTGCACAGTGCTGTCTGCAACATAATTATAGTATCTCATGGTTGGTAATAGTAAACTATTGACCGCAGAAAGGCAGAGGAAACCTCAGACAGTGATACAGTACATGCACCTCCCTCTGTGTATGGCCCTGTGTGTGTGTGTTAGAGGGGTAGGGAGAGAGCACTCATGGGAAACAGTGTGTCACTGGTATTTTGTTGGCAGAGAATGCATACATAATGTGCTAATATCCAACGCCTCTTGTTTTGCCAACAAATATGCAGATGAGGAAGATCTGTACTTTTCTGCGACTATTTGCATAATCTTATATACCTTGAGGTTCCGCCGTGACAGGACTGAAGAAATCAAATGATTAGCAGCTACTTGAAATGGATGAATTTCTCCCAGACTCATCACTCCCTCTCTCTCTCTCTCTCTTGTCACTGTTGTCGCTTGAGCAGTGGAACCGAAATGAGGTCTTAACTGGCCGGGCGTTTTGTCTGGACAGCTGGGGAACAGGGTGCACTACAAGTCCAGTAATTTAAATGTCACTCAGCTCCACAGTGACCGGGGAACAGGCAGGTCACAGACGTTCCTCAGAGGATACAGCTGGTGGATACAAACAAGCTGTGTGTATCCACAGCCTGATATGTCTTTTTTTTTTCTTTTCAGACTATTAAGAACTCATCAGTGAGCCACAATGTTGCAAACAGTGACATGAGCTCTGTGGGTTATTTATTTGTCCATGCACTCAAAAACAGACAAGCTAGAAAAAAGATGTGCTGCAAAATAAGCAGCAACCTCAGGTGTTGGAACAAAAACAATACTTTCTCATTTTTTAAGATTTATTTTTGGGCTTTTTTGTGCCTTTAATGGAGAGATAGGATAGTTGATAGAGTTGGAAACCAGGGAGAGAGAAGGAATGACATGCAGGAAGGGAGCCACAGGTGGGATTTGATCCTGGGCCGCCCGCTTTGAGGACTGCAGCCTCCATACATGCGCGCTAACCACTGCGCCACCAGCGCCCCAATGTTTCAGTAATTTTAAAAAAAATACAGTGTCCAGCTGTTTTGTTTGAACTTATTGGAGGCATGATCGTATCTGTGTGGTCGGCTTTTTAAAAAAAAAACTACTTAAAGGGGCGCTGGTGGCGCAGTGGTTGGTGCACGCGCCCCATGTGTGGAGGCTGTGGTCTTCTGGGCGGACGGCCCCAGGTTCGGGTCCAGCCTGTGGATCCTTCCGCTACTCTCTCTCTTCCTGGTTTCCTGCTCTGTCCACTGTCCTATCTCTCCATTGAAGGCACAAATGTACCAAAAAAATACATCTTTAAATCGACTTCAAAACCCCAAAAATCTAGTGATCCAATGCTGTCCATCTTTATTATTATTAGAGATTCAGTCTGTTTTATTTATTAATGCAGTTTTTGCTTCAGTTCCTAAAAGGTATGGACGTTGTATTAAATGTTAATTAAAACAGAATGTGATCACTTTCAGAACATAAAAACCCAATATATGATTTAAAAATAGTACAAAGTTAAGAGGTAAAAAAAAATGGAACTGTTCTTTGAAAGTGATGTGTGTATTTTGAATTTGATGCCAGCAACACATTTCATAAAAGTTTGCACAGGGTCATGTTTACCCCTCTGTTGCGTCACTTTTTTCTTTGTAAGCGTGTTGGGAACTGAGGAGACGAGTTTCTGTGATTTCTTTAAAGTTGAATGTTTTACTGTTCTTCCCTTGATGTAGGATTGCAGCTGCTCTACAGTTCAGGTCTCCTTTGTGTCATTTTACGCTTCATAATGTTTCAAACACATTCAAAGGGTGACGAGGCAGGACTGCAGAGACTCCTGTTTATCAGCCGGACTCTTTGACTATAGAGCCATGCTGCTGTAATACGTGCAGAATGTGGATTGGCATCACCTTGATGAAATAAGAAAGACCTTCCCTTATCTCACTCCGAAACCTCTATCTATCTAGTTCAGCATAGAAGGTATAACATAAAGAATCTTTACACTAAAATATCTAAATTAATAAAAAATTGACTAAACCTTTTTCATATATTTTTTTGTTGAGTTTTTACATTTCCTCAAATATTTCCAACAGTTATTCAGGCCAGCGAAATCTTTATTTGTATAGTTGTAATAGTCTGTGTCTTTTGTGGCAGCCGCCATGACACAGCCACAACGACTTTTATTGTTGCCATGGAAACACTGGATGTTACATACAAAGAGCTACATAATGAAGCATGAGCTGCTACTAAAAGCTGCCGTGCTGTTGCTGTATGTGCTGCTGTGATAAAAACGCCATGTGAATTATACTCTGATGCTTTAGCTCGTCGGTAAACATATTCTCTTCCTCAGGTCGGTTTCACCCAGTCGTCATGACTACGATCAACTCGGAATTTATTTATTTATCACTCCGGGGTGGGGGTGGAGGTTAGGAGAGAGAATCACTCCCATGATTCCTCCCCAGCTTGGTTGTCATATTTGTCGTTGTTTTGATTAAGAGCGTGGATTCAATGTTTTGAAATAATTACTTTCTGTTTATAACATTCCAAACTTTTGAAGATTTGGGGTTGTATTTTCTTTTTAAGGTCTGGATAAAAAAAAACTTTTTGGCAGTCATGCTGCGACATCCAAAACAGACCTGTAGCAACATGCCTAAACTAATGCATAAACAGGAAAATGCAAAGCCAGAAAAACACACTTTTCCACCAAACTTTCTGCATTATTTTTAGAATTTGCGTCCTGATTCTCTAAATGTAAAATATTTGGGCTGGTGCAGTTTGCACTTGGCAGCCAGTGGACAGTTTGGGGCATCACAAGAAGCTGTCAACACAACATTGACTTATTCTTACAAATGTGTTACCAAAAAGATTACTATCTATGGACTGAGTGCAACAGCATCTATTTATAGTCACCCTTCTGGCCAAGAATTCAGGTCCAATATTTACTCTCCTGAAAACTTGTATGTGATCTCTGCTAGCTCCTGAGACAATGATCTGCTCTATGCACTCAGCTCACCAGCTATTATTAACTGTGTGTGTGTGTGTGTGTGTGTGTGTGTGTGTGTGTGTGTGGTTTTTTTTTTTTTTCAGTGCAGCTTTTACAAAGATTCTCTCATAAATGAAGTCTGCTGCAGCTTCATGTCATGTCTCCTCTGTATCCCAGATTCCCAAAACTTTGCCATGCCATGGACCCCAATATAGCTGTGGGGAAAAATATTCTTTGCAAAATATTTTAAATTCCCTGTACATCACAACGTCACATATCAAAAATGAAGCATATACATTTTTTATATACGTCCTTACTGTTGAAGAAATGACTAAGACTTGACACAATAAGACTCAGTTGACTCAGATGGCTTACGTTGATGAAAGTTTATAGATAAGATGAATACTCATGAGGAGACATGATTCAACATCACACTTCTGTTCTCGTGTCTTGCTCAACCACATCTCCCGAACTTGTCGAAAGGCATCGCATATATCCAAAAAGACACTATCATTATCAGGGTCACATTGACCCACCTAGACTAATCTGTGACGTCTATAACACTGGAGCAGACAATAAGTCTACCAAACATCCTTACAGATATCAGGAAGAACAGTTGACACTCTCTAAGCTGTACTTGGTGTTCTAATAACAACTGAACTCTGTCAGGTCTGACTGACATTAGAGAACAGTGAAAAAACATAGTGACATCTTTACATTAGAATCTAAATAACTACAGAAATTCCACCACACTTATTTATATAAACAATTCATAATCTGGTTAGTCATCCGACACAAGGGGAGGTAGGTGGCTGGTTTACAAGTACAGCACCTTCCTGAAACCTCAGTGTCTCTGAGCGGATATACATAGAGAAAGAGTACATAGATTTAAATATGCAGTGATAAAAAACACCTCACATTTACCTAATGACACCCCTGAATAAATCAGTGCCGAGTTAGGCTACCCCTGTCTGGACACCCCCCTGGTTATGATATTGCTCTTCTTCATGAAATCCACTTTTTTTGTTCGATACAAGCACTTATTTCCTGCATACTCAAACGTGATTGGCCGACACTACTCAGACTACAGACCAGTCCATTCAAGTGAAGATATCTGCTTATAGAGTTTAGAAAATGTGCTTAAATGGCTGAAATCAACATGTTGTGCTCCAAAACGTTTCGTAAGAAAGACTCTCTCTTGACAAATTTTGGAATGCACATTTTATTTTTTTTAATATATCAAAAGAAACATGTTTACTACCCTCTTAAGTTACTGAGGACAAAAATGTCCACTTCCAAAAAAACTGCTGTAAAAATAGGACAGATTGATATTTTTTTCTACTTTTTTTTATATAAATCTCTTAAACAACTCCAAACATTATCAAATATTGAGTAATTATCAGGAATTTAACCCTTTAAATGCCAGAATCATGTAATCAAACTGGCATTTAAAGGGTTAAATTCCTGATAATTACTCAATATTTGATATTCAGCATGAACATCAAGTGGACACATGCAGCAGCTTTAACCTCTTATATTATTATAGTATTTCTAATCTCTAAAGGACATTTGCAGCTATTTGTATGTGTGAATGTGATATGGTTATGCTTTCCTTCATAAATGACTGTTGAAGTGTGTATTGACCTCGTCATGTGTTCATCCTTTCAGGGAGTTCAGCCACTGGAAAGTGAACAGCCTGGCAACAGAGAAGAGAGATTTCCTCAAAGCTCCGTTGCCCTTAGCGCAAGAGTTCCTACGCAACCTGCGGTTACTGGGGCGACGGCCGACCCTGCAGCAAATCAACGAAAACCTCATCAAGAAGTACGGGACCCACTTTCTGGTGTCTGCTACCCTGGGAGGTAAGAGAGTGACACACACTCGCCCTTTATTCTCGGGGTTAGGAAGTGTTGGGGGTAAACCATAAATAGAGGAGCTGTACTTACTTCAGGTCTCAGAGGAGTTCATAATAAAAAATGCACAGAGTTATGGCATGTGTTTCGAGCTCTGCAGAAGTAGAGGTTCTTGCGTCTTCATTTTTTCTCTCTCTCTCTCAGTGAAAATGTCAAGTGAAAGGCAGCTGCAACACCACACCCTGCACCTGCGTCATGTAACCAAGACTGTTTACCTCAATGATTTCCCACTCATCCTGCTTCCTGATGAACACAAAGTGCAGCTGCAACCGCCTTACAAGGCAGAAAACAGGGATCAAATGGACCCATTTCTCAGCATATAGATATATCGTCTTATTGGATTTCTTTTTAACCCCCATCTCCGAGGGGAGAAGTAACTCACAAAACAGAATCGCCAGCAGTATTGATCGTGTGCGCCTGACAAAATGAGACCGAGACCTGTGTGTTATACGTTTCGGTGTGTCGACCTCATGTTATTGATACGCTGCTGATCCTGGTCATCAACATAGCAGCACAGATATATGGGACACACTTTTATAGCATTTTATAAAAGGGGCTTGTAGAAAATTGATAGAGAGCATAAACGTGTCTGCATCCTTTTCATCGCAGTTAGACTCACACACTCTCAGTTCAAACCCTGTGATAAACAGTGAATGTATAAAATAGTGGGAGATATCTCACTCATAGGCGATATAATAGACTTCAACTTATGACAAAACACTATCATTTGAAAGTGACATTACCTGTGCATCTTCTAAAGCAGGACGCCCATTGACATGAGTGAGTGTTAAAAACAAACTCTGTTTACTTCCCGCCGTCTCCCGACAGTCTCTCAGTTATTCTAGTGAAAGGTTTGCATCCACAGACACCTTCTCTTTTGGTGCCTCTCATCACTGAATGTATACACTGAGGCATTAGCGTGGGAGACAGAGCGGAGATGAATTCAGCAGCAGACTGATAGTTAGACTCTATATGTAATTAACAGCCTCCACTAAATGGGCTGAGCCTCGTCTGCATACTGATTAGACCGAGGCTGCACACACATCCACACTCTCCCTTTTCTCTTTTGTTACGAGTGTTTTCATCTCTTTCTGTCTCGCTTTTTTATGTCTGTCTCCCGAGCCAGGGTTACGCTGAGCTGTGAAGTGTGTGTGCACAAATGTCAGCTGTACTGAAGTGATGTAATTGTCTTAATGGCTGCACATACTTTAACACAATGGCTTATATTTACAGAGTTTCATCCGGCCTTCTTTTATTGAAGGTGTGTCTGAACCTCCTTTGTTAACCCACAAATAAATTACACTAATAGAGCTAATACAGCTAATAGATGACCAAATGTAAGACACTCTCTAACAGGTCATTGTTTATTAGTCAATTTATTGAACATGTTAAGTAAATACAAACACAAAATGAAAAGGAAAAACAAAGTGGATCCATCAGGATCCATAGCAACAAATAAATAACTCAAATAATATAGTTCATGTTCAAAAGGGATAGGAAGAAGTTAAAAACTTTTCTGGTCCTACCTCTTCTTATTTTTGTGCATTATTCACAGAAAAATAAAAATGTTTTCATCAATCAGTGTATGATGTTGGACTTGTTGGCCAAAACAAATTACGTTTTTTAATTTAATTTTTAATTAGGTTATTAATTTGTTAAAGATAGTCAGTGGCTTTTTCCTACAAAAATAAAATATAGATTCAAACAAAAGTATCACTTATTGGCCTCCATGTGTGGTGGTGATTGTGTCGCCTGGTTGATGTAGGATGTTCATGGGCAGGGAGCTGGTGTGTTTGCATTAGCCAATTATAGCTCCCAGGTGAGTTTAGGAGTGGATACAGTTCAGCCATTGGACGCGCATGTGGAAGTATAGCGGGCAAAGAAGAGTAGGCGACACTGGCTGCAGTGTAGGTCATACCCCGCCTCCTCAGTGTTAATAACAGAGGGGATGGGTCAAACTATAAAGATTAAATGAAAGCCAGATTTAAACAATTTAAACCACAGCAGTGACTTAAAATGTGCAAAGTTTGCAATGAGAGTTGGATAGGCTACCCCCCTAACAGGGCCCCGCCTGAGAGCACTCACTCTCCTTGGGCTGCTAATCGTTGCATGGATTATTCCTGAGAATCTGAGTTTGCCAATAAAAGACACCGAAGGAAGATCAAAAATTTATCTGTCGAGGAGTCAGAGGAGAAAAGAATACAAGACAGTGTTAATAGAGCAGATAATAAAGATTAAATATTAATAAACGGCCTCAGCTATGGGGGAGAGACACTTGAATAACACGACTTTTGCTAACATTAAATTATAGAGTTTGTTCTTTGATGTTTAATATTAGCTAACTTTGCTAGCAGAGCGGTTTCATGTGTATAGCTCTGCTCGCTGTGACCGAGTTGTGTGGGCGCCACAGTGAGTCAGAGTCCCTGTTGGAGGTGCACCTTTTGAATGAACGCCTCGGGCCACAACAGACTCTAGAAATGCCACTGTCATGATCGACAGCTCTGTTGACAAACGCAGCTCCTTGCACTGCTCTCAACCAGGAAGGAAGGGTGATAGAAAACATGAGGAGAACTGACAATACAGTCTTAAAACTTTTCCATAACCACGAGTGTCTGCTCCAAACCGACACAAGTTTCTGTTCCGCTGTGGACTGTATGGACCTGAGGGTATTTTGGCTTCACTTTTGAACAACAGAAGGAGATGTGTTGTCCATATTTATATACTGGCAATGATACAGACCTTACCATCTCACCAATTTCATTTTCCTTCCCTCAAAATATAATTATTTGATTTATAAACAAAGATAAGAAATAACTCTACGACATACCTGCTAAACATGGGGGAACCGACGTCTCTGCACCAACCCTCCACCCTCAGGTGGCTGAGTAATATTTTTTTTTCTTCCTTGCTGTCCACCCTGCCTTTCAGTTCCTCTTAGCTGTGATAGTTTTATTTTAATTATTGTGAGCACAGATGCGTTCCAAGAGCTCCTGTTTAATATGCCCAATAGCCTGGTGCCCTAAAGTAATTTGTCCGTATTGATCTGTTGTGGCTCAAGGTTTGGACCTGATTCAGACAGCCTTTTCATCATGAAATAAACAAGTTTCAACCCCCTTTAAAAGGAGGGGTTCTTTTTTCCGAGTGACAACCTTGTGCTGTCTGAACAGTTTCCCTGATGACTGACAGACGTTCATTATGATTCCCGGGAGAAGTCTTAGGAGTAACGGATGCTGTGCGTTATCACTAATTTATACACTGCATGCATGTGTTGGTTTAGCGAGCACTCCTTGGGCTATGAGACTACTAGAGTCACATTTTAACATGCGTTTCATGGTGCATACATTTCACACTTAATTCATGACAGGAGGAGGCTAAATATAGAACCAATAGAAGCAACAAAAGGGAAGCTAGTGAATGTGAGGTGTAGTTTAAAAGTGCTTTGAATGGTCAGACAGGTTAAGTACCATCCATTTACCTTTACATTTACACATCCTGATGAATGAAACAGACCTTACAACCACTGCTCTCTTCTCATTCATTAACTGTTGTACCCTCAAATCATAGTGGTTTTATTTAAGACCACAAATCCTCTATTGTGTCAGATTTGGGATTAATATACCTGCTTAGGAAACACTTTCAGGCTGAATTCAAACCGGACCTGGTTTAAGAGCTTGAAAGGTAATTGGACGCTATACTTGACCAGCTCTTTTCTTGTTTTCTCACCATTCAAAACTACTTTTAGACTTTTCTTACCAGTTCCACAAGTGACAAGACAGATATGAAGAAATGTCAGAGGACACATTTCTTTGAATGAATTCAATGCTGATCTTGTCTGTAATGAAGTGATGAAAGGAAGAGAAGCAAAGAGCAAACACTTCCTGCCTGCATTATAAACCACCAAACCACAGCGATGCAGTGAAGGTCTGCCAAGGAAATGTCAAAAGAGAAAGAGAATCCAAAGATAACATCAGCATGCTGATCTGACATGATGTCAGTTTTTTGAGGAAGTGACTCTTCAGGAATAGTAACAAAGGGGATTCAGTGTTTTATTAAAAAGACAGCCACTTTGTTCATGACTAAAATAGTATAAATATTGATTGATCGTTTGTTCGTCCACAGGGGAGGAGTCTCTGACCATTTTCCTGGACAAGCAGAAGCTGAACAAGAAGTCGGAGGGTAGCAGCAACAGCTCAGTGGTGTCTCTGGAGCTGCTGCATCAGCTGGCCGCTTCCTACTTCACAGATCGAGAGAGCACCCTAAGGCGACTGCACCACCTCCAGATCGCCACTTCTGCCATCAAGGTACTTTACACATGCGTGAAGCCACTGACGAAGCTTACTTACATAACATATTCAAATGAAAAAAATCCCTTTTTCAGTACAGCTGCCATGCAAACTCACTGTTTCTTTGCAGTCAACAAAACAACCACCCATCAGGGCAGACATGAAAACATTAACTCTCCTATAAAGTTGTCCCTTTGGGATAGATTACTCCCTCCTGCACCTGTAACAAATAGTCCCGCTCGCTCTAAAGGTATGCGCACAAGCAATCCTTTTAAAAGATTATTTTTTCAAGGTGCATCATTCTTCAAAGGCTAGCGGAGAGACAAGAGAGAGAGAGAGTGAAGAAGGTCATATTTTAAAACAGCAGGCAGCATTAGAAGCACCGTGTATGTTCTGTAGCCCACAGAGGCAGTAAAGCATGGCAAATGTCAAGTTCCTTTAAAGTCCCAGAGGGAGAAGTCTATTTATGCATACTGTACTCTACTGTAAGCCATCTGGACTGGGTGACACACACACACACACACACACACACACACACACACACACACACACACACACACACACACACACACACACACACACACACACACACACACACACACACACACACACACACACACACACACACACACACACACACACACACACACACACACACACACACGCACAAACACACACACACACGTGTGCTCTGCTGAAGGTGTGTGACTGTTGTGAATTGTTTTCTTAAAGACTTTATATGTGACTTTTTGATCCAGCAGATGTCGCCCTTGAGCACTAGCATGAAACCAAAACAACTTGCGCTGCATTGTTGTGTTAGCATACTAATGCTAGCGATCTTTATTATGGCCGAGAGTAAGATGAGATGAGAAGAATGTCTCTCTCAATAACACAGTGTGAAAAAAAAAAAAATAGGTGGGAAACATTGCTGATATAAAATGATTTGACACAAAGTGCTTTTATTATGAAATGCCATGTTGTTGTTGCTAGCTTGATGTTATGAAGTTGAGATGTGCAGAAGAATGTGCAGCTTGTTCTTCTCCTTTGTAAACATTAATACATGAGCAATAAATGCTTAAATTTAAAAGACATCTGTATCGTCAAAATTGTTGTGAGTCTACAGTTTGAAGGGGTTTAACTTTTTCTTTGGTTTGATTTGTATTTACCTCAACACCAAACACTTGACTCACCTTGAGCAGGTTGATTGTCACTTACCGGTATCTAAAAAAAGAAAACTCTGTGGCAATATAAATCCCAGTACCTCCTCTGCCTGGCGTCACCTTGTTTAAATCCTTTCTTTTCTCCCATTTGACGACAGAAAGCAAAGCATAACCAAGGGGGGACTTTTTTTCTTTTTCTTTTCTCCACATGTAAACAGATCTGTTGGCTTTCATGTGATGACAGCAGGTGTGTGGGTGGGCGGACTGTGCTTTCAGGCTTCAACTTAAATAGTCAATCTGAGTGGAATGAGTCATTGCACAGCGTCAACTCTGTACCTTGAATTACAGTGGTCCATTCATGTCTGGCATGTTTCACGAGGCGCACGCACAGCAGGCAGAGGTGAGACTGACCACTTTTGTTGCCAAGAGACACTTAAACAGGGACCGTGGAGAATTTGATTGCTTGGAAATGTTGTTTTTTTTATTTTCCTCCCACCATGCTCTGAATAGTTGTATGTTTGAGAAAACGTAAAACACAAAGCCCTCCTGGACTCGGCTCCAAATTGCTTTTTACCTACGCTGAAAAGTTTGATTAGTGTGAGAACGTGAAATTTAAATTTAATGACTGAAATAAAAAAGTTTGTTGCACAACATTTTCAAAGAATTTAAGCCGCAGTGAATCTGAGCCTTGAGACAAACTTTGCTGCAGTGCGGGCCGCTCTCACATCCTGAAAGAAAAAAATCTATTGATAACCTCTGCAAACTTTACTTCAAAGCAAAAATCACAATCTAGCATGAGAGAATTACACAGATTAAAACAAAGAACGATCTCGCCTATATTAAAGGAGCAATCTGTAAGATATCTACTGAATGAAATGATAACATGACCTTACTATCTGATCAGACATTAAGGAAACATGCTATGTTGAAGTGCTGGCTTCTCTGACAACAATGCAGCTGCCAGTATGTCCTCCTTCTAACTTTAGATTCTGCTCCTGAATGCTCTGGATTTGTTTGGACCAGAGAGGGTAGGCGGTTTTAAGACACCCCCACACGGCCGTTTTGGACGCCCCTCGGTTTGTCAGATATGAGAGCAGTTATCAGGTCAACAGGTGTTGCAGCGATGGAAGCGGGCAAGAGAAGTGGTTCAGATAGAAGTGATTGTACCCGACCTAAAAAGCCTCTGCATGTTTCTAATAAGCTCCACGAGCAGAAACGTGCTCAAACTAGGCTCAATATTGGAGATGCTTTTGAAAAATGGAGAGAGTTTAGAACACAGAAAGGTTTACAGACCGATGCAGAGCTGGATAAACACTGAAGCTTCAGTGTCTGCAACATGGCAATCTGCATGAGCATCGACTCTAGAGAGGAGGGGGCAGGGACAGACAGCTGTCTACAATGTTTCGAATTTGGACTGCAGTACCCATGTTAAACACTAGGAGTCAGAGTTACATACTGCTCCTTTAAGAATTATTCAGTAGTGATGTTGAAACACATTAGCCTCTTAGAATTAATAATGACAGGACATTTTGCTCTTTTTGAAACATTTGTATTGGTGAATACTGTGTGTGACTGATGCTCTAAAATATGTTTGTTCTTGTGCATTTAAGTCCACAGCTGTAGAAAGGGTAACAGCAACAATTAGGATGAGTTGGTTTATCAGTAAATCTGTTTTTAATCCATTTAGGGATTATGTTTAATACCCTCTGTTACATTAAGCTGCACATCGCTTCTCATGCCTGTTTCTACTGAATGTCTTTCATCAAAGTGTTGACATGTCTGTGTTTGTAAAGCCGTGAGGGGGACGGATATCTGCACAGTAAAGCGATGTCAACAGTCTAATTAGATTTTATATGAAAGTTTAAGGTGATAAACAGGCCAGGTAGCTAACCATGTGCCCAAACGTACCTTCTGACATTGCTGATACACTGTAAGACTTCAAGCCGAAGCAGACATGATTTTTGAGTCGTACAACTCATTTTGAAGTTGGGGTGAATTTCATTTAGTGGACACTGAGCTACTACAGCTGATTACGACCCGAACAGCTGCTGCCGATCAGCCAGGTGAATTTCAGACATGTTTTATATTTTGGTTGTACGACTCCGCACAATTGAAACGTTAGAGCAAAGCCACGAGCCGATTACCTTTTTACCTGCCCAAACTGAAAGACAGCGACTGAAATCACCGTGGCAACAGCAGGCATGCCCTTGTCATCTGTCTCCCCCCTTCTATCATGAAAGAAATAGACCTATAGCAGAAAGATCTCCAGCTGACAGGGAATATATGATTGAGGTGCTAGTTCGCTTGGGTTGTTGTGTGTGTGAGAGAGGGAATGTTTTTGGCGGTGAGTGTAGCCCAGCTAAGCCGTCTCTTAGGTCGTGACCCACAATGCCGGACTTTAAAAGCCCTGTGTTAACTGTTGTACATTAATTAAATAACAAAACAAAAACACATCGGAGTTTAAAGGTCACATATTATGCAAAATACACTTTACCATGTTTTCTAACACTAACATGTGTCTCTAGTCTGTCTACAAACCCCACAATGATGAGAAAATTCCATCCTTTCCGTCTTCTGCCAGCTCCACTTTTCAGAAAATGTGTGCTCAAACAGGCTGTTTGGAGATGTTCCCTTCATGACATCACAAAGGGCAGTAGCCCCTCCCCCTGGTGGGTGACGCTCCCATAGCTAGGTGTTTGTTCTGCCCTCTGAGTCTGCCTTCTCACCGTAAACAATTGGACATGGTGCGAGAAAGCCTGAGCCACACAATGCCTTCCAGAGAGGGGGCGTGGTCAGACACAGCTCATTTACATATTTAAAGGTACAGACACAGAAACAGTCTGTTCTGAGCAGGGCTGAAATAGAGGGGTTTATAGACATGATCAAATACAGGATCAGAGTGGATTTAGAACAAGAAACTTCACACACATGTTCTGGGAGCTCTGAGACTTATTTAAACATTTTTAAAAGGAGGATAATGTGACCTTTAAACTACAAATGAGGTTTTTTTTTAATGGGTGGTATATTCTTGAAAATTTGTGTCATTGTCTTTAGAGGCATGGTCATTGACGGCTTGTCTTTTGACCGGCCTCACTTAGCAGAAATACAATCAGCAATGCCTAAGTGATGCTACAATTTATATTATGTGTTAGCATCAAGCTAACAAACCACACTAAGATGTATAGCACAATCCATCTGTGAGAATTCCTCCTATCCCAATCAGAATCAGAATAAGAAATACTTTATTAATCCCAGGGGGAAATTTGATCCCCTGTTGAATAATGCACCAGCTGCCCCTGTCACATCATTTAACTTTTCTTCCTATGTTCATTCATAGTCTGCATACTTTACGGATGTATAAGAATAGTCAGAGCGATTACAGAGGACATAAATAAGAATGTGCTGCTGAGTTGATGAGGAAGTTGGTTGTGTTAACGCTGGTCGTTGGTGTACTGACCATTGCTGGTCAAGTCATTACCTGAGATTGAGATTGCGCAGGTTGTGTGTATATAAGGTGAGTAAGTGAATATGTGGGGACCAATAAGGTGATATGACGCTGATGCATTTCATTCACTTTCATCCAAACTCGGCTGCAGCGTTGTTTGTGTTCCTGGACTTTTGTGTTTTTTAAATAAGGCACAGGCTTTGCAAACTTAATGCTGTAGTATGCGTCATTGATTTGGGCATTTCCCTATTCAAATTAGGCTTTATAATAAATGAAGTAAAGCACAATTTTTAAAAGCCAGAGGTGGCTCCAGCAGGTGGATGAAACTGTTTGCTCTAAATGAAAGTGACATTTGAATATAAAGCACATGTTCGCTGTTTCTGATTTAGTTCTTTTAAGTAGTTTGAGTTTTC